TCCCACGAAAATATAGGAACCAAAAATTTTCTTTTAATTTTTGATGAATATATTTAAAAAGGGTAACTATAACTAGTAACGTGTCATAACAGAGCTAAATAAAACACAATTATTTTTTTTGTTTAATATTTAATGTCATTGAAATTTTTTTGTCACGATTTTTCTTGTTTACACAGGAGGAGCGAAAGAATCCTCCCTTATGCCCTTTTGTTTTCATTTCCATAACCTTGAGTATAGTTAGGCAATAGCTAAAAATTAGCTAATTAGGCTCAATCCAGAGGCACTTGCCGGAAAATAAATCGTTAAGCATTGAAGAGCCAGTTAATCTATTTTTGCCTTCCAGAAGTTGTATTTTCAAAAAAAATTCCGAGACTGAGGTAATAGTTTTCAACTAAAAGCTAGGTTTAGCCTGCTAAGGTGGCTAAAAGTTAACAATAAATTTTCCAACTATAGCTCGAAGCATCGTAAATTTGTAGGGCCTATATTTTTCACGTTCTGTGCTCACTTTCACCCATGTCATAGGCTTCCTCCTCAATGTCTTGCTCCTCATCATGGTAAATAGTTCATTCAACTATCTTTACCTTTTTCTTCCCGAGGGCGAAGGTAAATGCAGGTTATTAATAAAGAGGAGCATATTTTTTTCTTACAAAACAAATATCCTCAAAAAAAATAGGTAAATAAATTTAAGAACCATTTAAAAATAACATATTTAGTGTATAAATCATGGTAATTTTATAATCAGATTATACGTCTCTTATACTTAACGGTCATGATCAATTATGTAAACGGCATTTAAAAATAGCCGTAATAAATGCAAACTTAGTAAAGAAGAGTGGAATAATCTTTTTGATAAATTACAGTCTAAAATCGAGGAATCATCTTGTTATCTGATACGATTAAAGAGAAAAAGAATTAAAGGTCAATTAGAGAATGCCAGCCACGTAACAAATGACTTTATCCTTTATGAAAGATGGACTTTGCCAGACACATATAGTGCATCAAAAGTGAAACCTCAATATAGAATTAATATTTCTAGAGAGAAGTTTATATGAAATTCAAAATTATTCTTTCCGCTTCTATCAAGTTAATGTATTTTGCAAATTAATACCTTTGTAGAAAGGTTTTCAAAAATAAATATCCTTCAACCGATATATGCATTATTTGCATCCAGGGCATTTCAATGAAAATAATAAATATGTAAAAAGCATTGGAGAAAATTTACCATTTAGCAAGGCGGAATAGAAGAAAAATTTCCAGTTTTTGTCCAAATATTTAAAGATTGACCTGAGGAAAAGTTATGATCATACAAATATTACCTAAGCCACAGGGTTTGGTAATGTATCTTTTGGTGAAGCCTCTAGGTCTCTATTTTTTTTGACTAAAGATTTTGTTGTTTTTTCTTTAAATTGGTCAAATCAAAGTTTTGCATAACACTAGGGAAAGTAAAGTACAGATATTTAATATTCCAAATGACAAAGTGGAAATGTTATTGAAGCATGACTATGTATTTTAAGAATCTAACGACCGAATTCGGGAACAAATACAAAACTAAGTAAGGTGTTGGTATACATATAAACATGTTAAGTGTGAAAGAACATTTTGTAAATTAAGGATTATAAATAAAGTTTGCAGCCGGGGAAAGATTATAAGGTTGTGTTCATGTTACTCTTAAAATCCTATATTAGCAGTTAGAGAAAATTTGCGGTGCCGTGAATTCCTGATAACTATGAATGAAGGGTAAAATGAACGATCGATTTTATAAACCGGAATGAACCAGTACAAATTCGTTCAAAAATATATAGAATGAAACTAAGCCGTTTTAAAATTTTAAACTAAGAAACTGGATTGGACCTAAATATTATACATATCGGTTCAACATCTTGATTGAAACAAATGGAATTTGTGGTATGAGCAATAGTTCAGCATTAATATTAAAATGCTTTATTAAGCTAAATTCTCCTTCAAATTGAACCCTTCTAATTTTTTGTAAATTAATAATATATTGAATAAGTGTTTTCCATCTATTTAATTAAATATCGTTCACTTAGCTCAATTTTATATTATAAGCAATAAAATTTGTAATATAATTTAATTAGGCACGTCATTTTCACTTTTTATTTTTAAAAGAATAGAAAAATGGTTGCAAAAAAAAGATAATTACAAGGTCCCTGTCTCTGCCCAGATAACCCCTGATATTATTTTACAAAAGTTAATGGCAGAAAGGACAATTAATATTTTTAAAAAAAGCCCAATGATCAACAATTATGTATTTCTTTCCAAACTTTTTAAACCATGAAATCTATATTTCACCAGGTGGTAACAAAAAAACTTTATAACCAGGCCCTGTGACCCAGTTTTACAGGGATCCAAACCGAAAGAATATCGGTTCGGGTTCAGGTTTGGATAAAAATAACGGTTCAAGGTTCAGGTTCGGTTCGTAAAAAATTAAAATGTCGGTTCGGTTCGAACCTCTAAAAACCGGTTTAAACACTTTTGTATTCAAACCTACATTTGAATTATGTATAGGGAAAATATTTTTTATTTTATCATTATTTTAAAAAACACATGTATAAAACCTTCATTTTTATTAATTGTCCATTATAAAATAATATTTAATTTAATTTATAAATATAAAAATCAATTATTAATTTTAATATGAACAATATTTTATTTTTTTTACTTAATTTTTATTAAGCCGCACAATTAATATATTTTCAAAATTTGTTTCCCTCAAATTACATCTAAAAGGAGTTAGTAAATTTAATTGTTGAAAAACATCTTTCCACACTAACTTGGGTAGCCGGCACTGCCAATATGATATGATATCAGATTTGATGTGTCATTTATAATAATATTTTGGATTTAATTTTCCTTTAAGCATTATACTTTATAAGCTTAAAATAATTAAAAAATGTTGTAAAATGACAATATACTAAAATTTATAAAAATTATGACCGACACTTATCAATCAAATGTGATTGATAATCTTTAAAATAATTCGAATATAATTGATTTTTTTAAATAAACTAATAATAACTTACATATTATTTTATAAGCATAAAATCCCGAGGCTCAAACCGGTTCAGAGACATTTTAGCGGTTCGGTTCAGGTTCGGCTAGAATTTTTTAGCGGTTTAGGTTCGGTTCATGTTTGATAAAAAATACAGGTTTGTAGCGGTTTAACGGTTCGGTTTGGATCCTTGCAGTTTTATTATAAATGAAATTTATTCTATATCATAAAGTTATATATTATATTTAACCCTTTCAGACGATAATATAAATTGGAATGAACTTGCAAATATAAATTTAAACATAATACAGTGATCAGATCATCTCTATTGTAGCCAGTTAAAATAATTAAAATAAAATATATTTTTATTTATTCCAATTTACTACACAAATTATATAATATTTATATTTGAAACAAGCCAATCAAATATGACATTTGTTATTTTTAAATTTACCAAATTTTAATTTTTTTTTAAAATGATAAGATTTTATATTTTAAAGCTATATAATTCATTCATAATTTTATAATTAAAATATATTTAATAAGATTGAAGTGCAATCAATGCATTGTTTCCATTTATGTAATCATTTTTTAAAAATTACCATGCTTCTTGATATGGTTGGGGGAGGTGATATTCATATAATATCACTTATTTTTTCTTTAATGTTTTTGAAAAATTTAAATTATATTTTATTTCTAAGATAAAAATATAACTTTTTACGATAACAAAAAATTATTGTCACTTTTTTCCTAGGGTTAAATATTTAACAATAATTCAGGTAGTTTTATGATGTTTTTAATTTCTCTCTGAACTATTTAGTTAAGTTATAAGTTATTTTCTGCCGCCATTCAACTATAGATTTTTTAAAATGTTTCTAGAATGGGAAAAATGTCAAATTTATATTTTGGGGAATAAAGGTCTGACCAATATATGATGTTACAACTTGTGGGCAAGCCATGTTGTTTAATGTTGCTATTCTGCCATGTTTCAGGTAGGATATTTTATTATTATTGTGAAGTTTAATTAATTCCCTTTTCAAAAAAATGAACATGAATTAAAAATATTCTTAAAACAGAAAAATGGTTATATAAAAAATAAACAGCAAGAATTCTCAACTACAAGAATTACAATTTGGGGTTGTAATGTAAAATACATAATGACATTGAGAGAACTAATAAGCATCTAAATGAGATATAAATAATGTTTTATTTTAGAAAATTGGTTAGGTACTCCAAATGTATAAATTTATTAGTACATAAATTATTAATCACACAAGACCTGCAAAATTCAATAGTTATCCCCAACCTAGCCTAAATTTTTTAAAAAAAATTTTTAATCTGCTCATTTTCTGTCTAGATTTTATTTTTAAAATTTTATTTATGAATAATTTATCTGTATTTTGTAAATTTTTTAAGAGGGAAAATAAAAAATATTAGGAAAATATCAATCTTTTCCAAATTGATGTATAATTTAAATTTATTTAAAAATAGGTTTTGCAAAAATGAACTCTTAGACCTGATCTAGATTTATATTTTTTATAGGGCTTGCCTAAAATTAAAAATGCTACCATTTTATAGACCTTCCTTGGGCTTACAGGTTTAGGTATAGCTGAGTTAAATTATCAAATTTTTCCATGGACCAAGGTGTTACAAATTATGATTAAAAAATAACAAAGTATCTGTTAATTAAGTTGACCATTATAAATATTTTCATAAATCTAATTAAAATGTGTTTATATTTATATACAAAAATAAAGTGGCACTATATATAAATCCTTTAATAACTTTGAAAATCTTAATTTAAGAAAAAACTATTACATATTAATTGTCAAATTTGTTTATATATATTTCAGACACTTTAAACTATGTGTAATAAAATAATTAGATCATATTACTCTTAATATAAGGAAATTTAAAATATTTTTTTTTTAATTTTATGAATAACAAATAATCTTTTAATAGAAAATAATTAATTAAATATCATACATACCATTTGTAATATTCATAGGGCTCTTCTTAATTAATTGTTGAAATGGTTGTGAAGATACACCTTCTTGTGCCTTTTCCATTTTTGTACATATGTTTTCGAGCCTTTTCACCACGTTATTCAATGAAGTATTAGAAATTGCCATGATCTTAGTTAGAAAATATTATTTTGTCTGTTTTATTCAATGTAGATGCTACACATTTATTTCAATTAAAATTATTGTATAATATAAAGATATTGGTCCGTGCAAAGAATTAAATAAAATTTGAATTTAAGGCGTGTTTGAAAAAAACGAATCAAACTTAATTTATGAAAAATAATTTAATAAATATTTAAAAAATCGGTATTTCCATCAGATTCATATCAATTAATATGGGGATATATCTATTATTGTTATAACTATTAATAATAAATGACCATGGATCAATTTTTTTATAAATAAGGACTCATTAATACGATTAAATAATATTTAAAAAAGAAAATATACACGTTGATAAACCAAAAATATTTTATATTTTAATTTGTTGTCAACTTTGATAAAGTCAAAAGTAGAATTGAACCTAACAGTGCTGTTAAATAACTTAAAACAAATCACGCTAAATCCATAATATTTTAGTTTCAGCAACACCATATAGCATTAAAAATCTTTAAATTTTATAAAAATTTTATTGCTTGATTTAATTATTAGAGCACTATAAATAGGCAAAATTTAAAAAAGAAATCGAGATAAATATAATTTTCTGATAATTATATCATTTTTTTACTTTATTTATATATTTTTTTATTGGTGCATTTTATTTAATCATGAATCATTTTTTAAGCCAGTGTAGAGATAGATAAAAAGTGCCCAAAATAAATAATTAATCAATAAAAAAAGTCTGTGTATCGTAGTTAAAAAATTATCTTTAGTGATAATTTTTTCAGTGAACTGTACCATTAAAGTTATTTATGATTCTATAAAGTATAAATATTTCTTGTTTCATATATTTTTTGAGCGATTTATTTTTAAATTAAATCGTTTTCTTTGGGGAATTCAGTTTTATATGAGCATTAAGAAATAATTTAGGCCATTCAAATTTTTTCTGAGGAGTGAGAATTTATTATCAATGTTTGAGGATTAATTTTTAGCATTTCACTTTTAATTCTGATTGATTATGATTATATAGATCAATTTAAAATATGAGATTACATAAATTGTGGTTACATTGATACTTATATAACTCAGCAGCGATAATGTTAAATATTATATATTCATTTACATTTTTGCCCTTAAAGTTTTTTAATATTTTATTGTATGTGTAGTTTTTTACTCTAATTTTTATTCCTTTTATTTTATTTGGTGCTTTCTTTTATTTTTATAGTTTTCGGCCTACTCATCCTAAAAAAAATTTTGTAATAATTTATAAGTCCGTAAGCACAAGAGCATTTGGAATCTCTCAGTATAATTATCCTCACAAGATTTAAATAAGTGTTAGTTTTAACTGTGATTATATCGTATAAAACTAATACAATATATTTTCGAAAACGTTATTTTTATCTGTTATATTATAGGAATTAATAAATTAAAATATTATATATTTTGGTTATTGAATAGTATTATGTTTTCATTTATGTAACGCGCATTCATACCGTCCACTCATAGTGGTACCGTGCACTATAATAAAACGGATATACATCATGTATAGGATCTATATACTAGTGAATATACTTGGTGCACGCCCAACTCCTGGTGGGTGATGAAATTGCACTTCGTATTTCTAGGCGGGGTAATGAATGAATGAATGAATTTTTATTTTAGTTTTACTTTTCGTTTTATAACTTAACCTTTTGATTTTGTAAAAAAGATATAAATACAAGATTTAAAAAGTAATAAAATGAACCTTTTAAAACATTCTTTATTTTAGTGTTCTGATGGGCTTCTTTCTTCATGGTGCCCCGCTCTAGGTGGTGGACTTGAGTGATGACCATTATCTAACCTAATGAGATGACCAATACCTAACCTAATGAGATGACCAATTCCCTAATCTAATGTGATGCCAATGCCTAACCTAATGAGATGACCAATATGACCAATGCCCACCTAATGAGATGGCCAATGCCTAACCTAATGAGATGACCAAGAACCAATATGGAAGTTGGATGATAGGCTATAAATTCTATATAGTTTTCCAAGCACGTTCTTTCCCGCCAAAAGCTTCTTTCTTCATGTTGCACCGGCTCTGGGTGGTGGACTGGAATATGATGACCAACACCTAACCTAATGTGACGACCTAGAAAGAACTGATATGGAAGTTGGAAGATAGGCTATGAATTCTATATAGTGAAACCAATGATGATTTACTAATTATTCTAAACCCACGTAAGAAGAAAATATATTATAACTTAAAATTATATGCCGAGATTATAGTATAAATTAACTTATTAAAATAATTTAAGGGTAAATCAACCATAATGGACATATTTGAATACATAAAAAGCCTTAAAAAATATTTACTTAATAATGAATTAACAGTTGAACTTCTTAGTGAAATGCCTATTGATATTTTTCATATTTTTGATTTCTTGAATTATGACCAATTGTGGAAATTAACTGAATTACCTAAAGATGAATTCTTAGATACAATTAAAAAATATTACAAAGATAAACCATTAAAGAAAATAAAACTATAATTTTAAGTAATTGATACATATAAATTTAAAGATATAAATCATATGATTGATTCAAAAAATTCTAAAATTAATATAACTCTTATAAGTAATACTTAATGTGATAAAAAGTTTTTGAAATTTAAAGCTTTAAAGACAAGAGGTTATGTAAAAACTAAACATCTTCATTTTAGAAAAATATTTAAGATGTGATGAAGAGATCAATTTCTAAAAATTTTTTATGAAGAATTATTATTTAAAAAAAAACACTTTTGAATTAAAACTAAGGTGTGAAATTTAAACTTTTAAAAGAAAGGGAAATGTGCATAATATTTAATTGCATAAATATTAATATATAAATAAAAATAAATTTAAACTATAACGCGAAAAAATAAAAGACACTAAAACGCGAAAAAATAAATTGGACACTAAAAGCGAAAAATTAAAACGCTGAAAATTTTATATAACAATCTTAATGATTTATCATTCTTCATTTATTTTTATATCCAACTTGATGAATTATTATTTCTAATTATATTTGACCGACTGATGATAAAAACAATTTTGAAAATTTGATAATAATGACTGAGTACTACAAGCAAGCTTTCACGATTTATAAAGACAACTTACGATAAGGATATCAACCTTACGATTTAAACAAACCAACGTACAAACACAATAAACGATTTGGACAAGCCAACGATTAAGATGTGACTTATGCAACATTGACAACCAAAACGATAAACCATTTGGACGACAAGCTTTCTATGACTGCTTAGATGAACTTATGGGAAGGCTTTTTTAGAAGAGGGAGAATGTTATATTATAGGAATTAATAAATTAAAATATTATATATTTTGGTTATTGAATAGTATTATGTTTTAATTTAGGTAACGCGCATTCATTTAATTCTGTTTATTCAAATTATATTTTTATTTTAGTTTTACTTTTCGTTTTATAACTTAACCTTTTGATTTTATTAGTTTGTAAAAAAGATATAAATACAAGATTAAAAAAGTAATAAAATGAACATTTAAAACACTCGTGTTCCGAGCAATTTTTTCTTCATTATCATTTTGCCAAATTAATTTTACTTTATTATTGCAACTTTTTTCCTATAAATAGTACAAAATTTTATGTTATTATAATATATTTTTTACTCTTAAATTATTATAATTATCTATATTATAATTTTCCGATGTCCTCACTACGTTATCGTGACGTCATGTCATCGCTACGTCATGTCATCGCTACGTCATGTCATCGCTACGTCATTTGTTGATTTTTTTATAAACATATGTTCATACCAAATTCTGAAATCAAAAGAAGTAATTTATTTGTTGATTTTTTATGAGACTATCATTTTCCTTGACTGAAATCGGAGTGCCAGATACCAATTTTTAGAGATTATCATTTATTTGAATTCCTCAAACCAGAAGAAGTAATTTATTTGTTCATTTTTTATGATGGATGATATTCCCACTATTTCTAGAGAGGTTAACCTAATATTTACTCTATTTTTTATTTATTCTTTTTTTTATTTATTCTTTTTTTTTTATTTTAGATCATGTTCATTGCATTTATATTCTTTATATTATTCTTTGTTTTTACAAGCCCTGTCTTACCCATATTTAATGATTGTACAGGTGGTATATTGACTCCTCATCAAGTTCAATCCATTTATTTTTTTTATTTATTCTTTTGTTTCTATTTTAGATAACAAGCCATGTCCTAACCTCAGTTAATGATTGTACAGGTGGTGATTTATCCTTCATTAATAAAAGAAAAAGATGGCAGATCAATCAAAAAAAGAAACGCACTAGCGAAAGCTAGGCCCTACAAAATCTACTAACAACTCAAAATAAAGTTAGCATTATATATATATTTTTTTATACTCTTTTATATTATAGAATACATCTATTTTAGCTTCTGATAATAGCCCAACTATTTCTAGGGAGTTGAACCTAATATTGACTCTTCTTCAGGTTCATTGCATTTATATTCTTTATATTATTCTTTGTTTTTATTTTAGATAACAAGCCCTGTCTTACCCTCATTTAATGATTGTGGTATATTGACTCCTCATCAAGTTCAATGCATTTATTTTTTTTATTTATTCTTTTGTTTCTATTTTAGATAACAAGCCATGTCCTAACCTCAGTTAATGATTGTACAGGTGGTGATTTATCCTTCATTAATAAAAGAAAAAGATGGCAGATCAATCAAAAAAAGAAACGCACTAAGGATAGCGAGGCCCTACAAAATCTACTAACAACTCAAAATAAAGTTAGTCTATATATATATATTTTTTTATACTCTTTTATATTATAGAATACATCTATTTAGCTTCTGATAATGTCCCCACTATATCTAGGGAGTTGAACCTATTATTGACTCCTCTCAGGTTCATTGCATTTATATTCTTTATATTATTCTTTGTTTTTATTTTAGATAACAAGCCCTGTCTTACCCTCATTTAAGGATTGTACAGATGGTATATTGACTCCTCATCAAGTTTAATGCATTTATTTTTTTTTTATTTATACTTTTGTTTCTATATATATTTTTTTTTACTCTTTTATATTATAGAATACATCTATTTTAGCTTCTGATAATGTCCCAACTATTTAGGGAGTTGAACCTAATATTGACTCCTCTGCAGGTTCATTGCATTTATATTCTTTATATTATTCTTTGTTTTTATTTTAGATAACAAGCCCTGTCTTACCCTTATTTAATGATTGTACAGGTGGTATATTGACTCCTCATCAAGTTCAATGCATTTATTTTTTTTATTTATTCTTTTGTTTTTATTTTAGATCATGTTCATTGCATTTATATTCTTTATATTATTCTTTGTTTTTATTTTAGATAACAAGCCCTGTCTTACCCTCATTTAATGATTGTACAGGTGGTATATTGACTCCTCATCAAGTTCAATCATTTATTTTTTTTATTTATTCTTTTGTTTCTATTTTAGATAACAAGCCATGTCCTAACCCCAGTTAATGATTGTACAGGTGGTGATTTATCCGTCATTAATAAAAGAAAAAGTTGGCAGATCAATCAAAAAAAGAAACGCACTAGGGATAGCGAAGCCCTACAAAATCTACTAACAACTCAAAATAAAGTTAGCCTTATATATATATTTTATTTATACTCTTTTATATTATAGAATACATCTATTTTAGCTTCTGATAATGTCCCCACTATATCTAGGGAGTTGAACCTATTATTGACTCCTCTTCAGGTTCATTGCATTTATATTCTTTATATTATTCTTTGTTTTTATTTTAGATAACAAGCCCTGTCTTACTCTCATTTAAGGATTGTACAGGTGGTATATTGACTCCTCATCAAGTTCAATGCATTTATTTTTTTTTATTTATTCTTTTGTTTCTATATATATTTTTTTACTCTTTTATATTATAGAATACATCTATTTTAGCTTCTGATAATGTCCCAACTATTTCTAGGGAGATGAACCTAATATTGACTCCTCTTCAGGTTCATTGCATTTATATTCTTTATATTATTCTTTGTTTTTATTTTAGATAACAAGCCCTGTCTTACCCTCATTTAATGATTGTACAGGTGGTATATTGACTCCTCATTAAGTTCAATGCATTTATTTTTTTTATTTATTCTTTTGTTTTTGACTCCTCTTCAGGTTCATTGCATTTATATTTTTTATATTATTCTTTGCTTTTATTTTAGATAACAAGCCTGTCTTACCCTCATTTAATGATTGTACAGGTGGTATATTGACTCCTCATCAAGTTCAATGCATTTATTTTTTTTATTTATTCTTTTGTTTCTATTTTAGATAACAAGCCATGTCTTAACTCCATTTAATGATTGTACAGGTGGTGATTTATCCGTCATTAATAAGAGAAAAAGATGGCTGATCAATCAAAAAAAGAAACGCACTAGGGATAGCGAGGCCTTACAAAATCTACTAACAACTCAAAATAAAGTTAGCCTTATATATATATTTTTTTATACTCTTTTATATTATAGAATACATCTATTTTCGCTTCTGATAATGTCCCCACTATTTCTAGGGAGTTGAACCTTATATTGACTCCTTTTCAGGTTCAATGCATTTATATTTTTTAATTATTCTTCTGTTTTTATTTTATATAACAAACCCTTCTTTATTTCCTCCTTATAATTGTTTAAATAATGATATATCTACCATTAATAATCAACAAATACAAAATAAATGTTCAGAAAAACACGATAGTCTTGACAAGTCCCCAACTAGACAAATTTTATTTTTTGATGATAGCCTCCCAACTACTAGAGATATGCATATATTGACCCCTTTACAGGTTCAGTACAAATGTTCGTTTTATTTCAATAATAATGTTTTATATTTATGCCTGATTTCCTTATTTATTTTAGGTTAACCCAAACTTAATCCCTCACATAGCTACAAAACATGATATTTCTATTAAAGATAAGCAAAGAAAAAAATGGCGACTCAACAAACGCCTTACCCGTTCTAGAATTACAGGTATGCAGGATAATAAGGACCTACGCCTGATATTAACTCCCTTGCAGATTTTTAATGTTTTATATATATAGGTTTATTTTATAATCACCCAGATACCGTCAAATGATATTTCTATAATCACTACCACATTCCCTATGGCACCTCTACCATGTATATTTCGACATATATTTGATGACCACCACTCACCTATATTAGATATCGGAAATATGACAGAAATATGCGCCTTCTGCAATGCTAAAATGTGGAATGGAGAAAAATTATCAAAAAGCTCATGTAGAAATATTCAGTTTTCTACATGTTGTGAATGGGAAGGTATTTTTATCTAAAATTTCCCAATTACCACCAAATTTATTACGTTTATTTACCGGGAATCATTGTTCATCATCCCACTTTTTAACAAACATAAGAGCTTATAATTCCGCACTGTCATTCATTTCACTAGGAGTTAATATAAATAATAATTTATCCAATTCGCGATCAGGTAATTATACCTTTCAAATTAATGGACAGGTTCATCATCGCATTGGTTCACTCCTACCAACATTAGGGGAAACTCCTAAATTTGCCCAATTATATATACATGATAGTATAAATGAGATAGAAAACAGACATAACCAGGTTCCGTTTTTAGATCGTTGTCTTTTAATGGAATTGCAGGATATTGTTCACACCTACAACCCCTTTGCTTCTCAATTTTTGAGAGTATCTTCTATGACTACTGGCGTTCCTAACATATCCTTAAACTTAAAATCTACTCCAAGTTTTGACGTACGTTATCGCAATAAACCTACCTCATCTAAAATAGCAGTATTATTACCTGGTGATGGCAGTGATCATATAGCCCATAGAGATATTATCTTAAAAACTCTATCTGGTCCTTTAAGACGTATTAATGAGCTCCATTCCTCATACGATCCCTTGCAATATGTTCTTCTATTTCCCAGAGGCGATATTGGATACCATCCATCCATTCATTATAGAAACTCAACTAATAAATATGTTACCTGCAGAGAGTACTAGGCCTATCGCTTTATGGTCAGGCAGGATGATGAGAATGTTATTTTAAGATCCAAACGTCTTTTTCACCAATTTATTGTCGACAGTTATGCCAAACAGGAAACGCTTCGATTAAATTTTATACGTAATAATCAATCCAAATTACGCGCCGAACTCTATCAAGGCATACATGATGCTATTTTAGAGGGAGATACTAATGCTGACAATCTTGGCAGAAGAATAATTTTGCCTTCTTCTTTTACCGGTGGCCCAAGGCATATGCATCAGCTTTATCAGGACGCAATGGCTATTGTACGCTGCTTTGGTAAACCATCATTATTCATTACTTTCACCTGCAACCCTAAATGGGATAAAATAATGCGTGAATTATTTCCTCATCAGACCCCAAACGACCGCCCAGATTTAGTTTGTCGCGTTTTTCGTCAAAAATTAAAATGTCTAAAAAAGGATTTGCTCTATTATCATGTTCTTGGCAAAGTAATCGCTTATATAGATGTCATAGAATTCCAGAAAAGAGGTTTGCCTCATTGTTATATGTGCCTTATACTAGATAAATCTCATAGGCTACCAACGGCTGATACTTATGATGATGTAGTTTGTTCTGAAATTCCTAACAAAATAACTGAGCCTAAGCTGTTTCAAATTATTAGCAATTTTAATACACATGGGCCATGTGGTATAACATTTCCTAATAGTCCCTGTATGATTGATGGAAAATGCTCGAAAAAATATCCTAAATCATTTGTGGATACCTCTTCTATTGATAAGTATGGTTATCCTTTATATAGGCGACGAAATGATGGCGTTACCTTCCAAAAAAAATTAAACGGATTTATATTTAACAACCGTTGGATTATTCCTTATAATAAACATTTATCAAAAAAATATAATGCACATATAAATGTAGAAATTTGTTCATCTGTCCAGTCCATAAAATACCTTCCATGACAGAACTACTGCTTCCGTTTCCATTAATAATGTTGATGAAACTACCCAGATCATTGATGCTCGATATATATCCGCCATAGAATCGCTATGGCGTACTTTGGATTTTGAAATGCAGGATCATTCTCCTGCAGTCTATCGTTTAGACCTTCATCTACCCAATCAACATATAATCCTTTTTCAATCAAATACTGATATCAATAATATCTTAACTAAAAATCCTGGTACAAAATTAACCGAATGGTTTAAAATTAATCAACTTGACACAGATGCCAGACATTATATTTATGCAGATTTTGTAAGATATTATGTGTGGAAACCTCTATCTAAACAGTGGTTAAAACGAAAAAGGGGTGGTAATAAAGTTATAGGCCGTATACGCACAGTTTCTCCTAAAGAGGGTGAGGTTTTTTATTTAAGACTATTACTTAATGTTACTGGGCCTACATGCTTTGAAGATCTACGCTCTTTTAATGGAATTATCAGTAACACTTTATGATGATTATATTATTAAAGATAAGCAAAGAAAATAATGACGAATAAACAAACGCCTTACCCGTTCTAGAGTTACTGGTAGACAAAATAATAAAGAACTACGCTTGAAATGAATTCATTTTTACCAGAAACACAGAGTAATAATTAATCCTCAGCATTTTTAAAAAAAAATACCTAAATTTATACGGCAAGAAAAACAAATTTCTTAAAAAATATATAAATAAATTGCATATAAGTTTCATTAGTATTGAATGACATTTTTGTAATTTAAATAGATAGCATTTTTTTGTACTTAACAAAAGATATAGATAGCTCTTATCAAATTTTTTGATAAAAGGAGTTAACCCACTAATTGGTAAATCCGAGATTTCCCCTTCATGTGTTGATAAATTATTTAGAAATTTAACTATCTCCGGGTTTGGGAAATAGTTTTGAAACTTAATATGTGATGGACTGGGCTTGAAAAATATTCCTCAAGATTTTTGCTTGCACCTGACTTGGGAATATCTTATACAAATTATTATGGGCCGGGCTAGGAAAAAATTTTCAAAATTATTATGGGTTGAGCTAGATTTGAGATAAATTATAAGGTCTTGAACGCGTGGAAATTTTTTTCAAATATTATGAGCTTGGACCTGGCTTGAAATTTTTTAATATTAAATGTTAGTCTTATGTAACCAGTAATAGATTTATAAAGAATTTTGGTATTACGTACAAGCTCATTTAAATATATTTTGACTCAAATAATAGTTTCCACTCTTAGTCCTAATGGGTTGGACTCAATGACATTGCTTGGACTTGACTTAAATGGGGAGGGGGGGGGATTAAAAAATTATATAAATTGGATATGATTTTTAAATAAAAGGTAACATCTTTCTTAAAAAAACGAATAAAATTCTCATTCTCCGTCATTTTTGACGGGCTATCTACTAGTATTTTATAAATTCTCAATTTTATATTCGTTTTATATTGAGTAAAAATCAATTTCGTTTAGTATTAAATATTCAGTTTACTAACATAAGTTAAACCATGATGACACAAACTCGTTCACAAGTAATCTATATTATAATTTTCCAATATCCTCACTATGTCATGTTATCGGTACGTATTAATTAATTAATTTTTTTTTCAATATCTATATTAACAGATGAACCTATAACTTCAGTTAACCATGCAAATGTAGGATGCCAAAATAAAACCTTTAATTTATCTTTACAAAATTTTACAAATTATTTTAATTTATCTTTACAAAATTTGCATAATATTTTTATTATATCAATTATAAGCTATCAAGGGGAAACCCCCCCCTTCAGAAATTTATCACTTTCTGTGAATATCATTTTAAGCTAATAAAAAATATCCCCCTTAGTCCTCCCCCCACTCACTGACCCCCAAAAATGTATGCATATATCTTAAACAATAATTTGAAAGAAATAATGTAAAAGTTGATATTTTTTTATAAAACTATTCATCATAATTTATACATTTTTGGAAAAAAACATTTATATATAAAAAAAGTGAACCAAAAATGCTTTTTAAGAAATGGAATATAAGCCAAAGATAAGTCTTAAGACAAAAGTGAAATGTATTATAATTATTAATAATAGATCCATAAAATTACTAAATAATATAATATATCAAAAATAATTTTTTATAAAGTGAGTGATTTTAATTTATTTATCTTAATAAAAGTAAAATATAATTATAAAACTCTTGATAAAATTAAATCATAAATTAAATAAAAAAATTAAAGCACAATACAAACAGTGGAATATTATATGTCGTAGATTTACAGTATATCTAATTATCAAATGACAATCAGTAATTTTTACCAATATAGCTAATTATATATTTTACAAAAAACTATAAAATATTGATAAGGACATCAGAAAATATCTTTTAAAGTCATTGTGGGATAAATAATATAAAAATTATTTTCTAATATCATTTTTAATTTAAAATAGATAGTTGGCGTTAAATAATTGAATGCAAATTGTTGCTATATTTATTGTCAAGAGCATTGATTAGTAAAATTTAAAATTAAAATATTTACATAATATATTCTCTAACTGTCAAATATGTCTGTAAAAGTGTAATTTTACCTAGTATTTTGTAACCAATTCTATATAATAGAGGAATATCAACTATATGTCTACTTACTTTTTATAAATACATTCCTTATACTTGTTTGGAATAAATGATTACCATGCTTTTATATTAATGTATATACAAGTAGTTTATTATATTTTATATAAACTAATAAAAATATATTTAATATTTGTTCCAGGCTTATTTTTTTTATTAAAATTAACCTCCAATCTTGTAAAAATGTTTTATGAATATATATAGAATAAGGTAAGGCGAAGCCCCCAGTAGTTTTTTAATTCCCCCCCCCCTTAGGAAAATCTTGGCTACGCCTATGCAAGAAGCTGCTATCAGTGAAAACAATTATTCATCAATTCAATGCAAAATACAATATGATACCAATATTTTTACTATATCAATTATAAAGCTATTCAAGATGATATCTCATTCAAGAAGCTGCTATCAGTGAAAAATTATTCACCTATGTAAAATACAATATGATACATAATATTTTCATTATATCATTACAATATTCAAAATTTATTTTCTTGTTTATTTTATTTTTAAACAGATCAATCATCATTTAAATTTAAAGATTTGATGCATATTATTTATCAATTATAGAGCTATGCGATGATATTACCACTCTCACTCAAGAAGCTACTATCAGTGAAAACAATATTTACCAATTCAATCTAAAATACAATATGATACCAATATTTATACTATATCATTTATAAAGCTATTCAAGATGATATTACCACTCTCACTCAAGAAGCTACTATCAGTGAAAACAATATTTACCAATTCAATCTAAAATACAATATGATACCAATATTTATACTATATCATTTATAAAGCTATTCAAGATGATATTACCACTCTCACTCAAGAAGCTACTATTAGTGACAATTATTCACCAATGTAAAATACAATATGATACATAATATTTTCATCATATCAAATATATTACAATATCCAAAATTAATTTTCTTATTTATTTTATTTTTAAATAGATTAATCATCATTTAAATTCAAGATTTCATTGTAAAGGGAGGGGAATTTTAAATACACATTTATTAAGGGTGGCTATTTTCATTTTTGTCAATGTGTTGTTAGGCAGATTTAGCAAAAAGGATGTGCCCTACCCCCCTTTTCAATCTACTAATGAGTAATATGATACAATTTTTATTATATCAATTATATTACAATATTCAAAATTAATTCTCTTATTTATTTTATTTTTAAATGGATCAATCGTTATTTAATTTTGAAGATTAATTTTTTTTTATAAAATCAAAATATAATAATTACCATACTCTAATGAATATTTATATATTAATGATAAAGCGGTATGACTAAATACTGTCTTGCTAAAAAGCAATTAATCATAATCAATCATAATTTGACGTATAAACTAAAAATGAAGAATTTTCTATGTATAACGCCAGCAAGGCAGTATTTCGGTTTCAAATCGGTTATCGGTCAAATCACGATATTTTTAAAATATTTTTTGGGATAATGATTTGCACGTATTTATAGATAAATTAACCAAAAATGAACATAATCCAAATAATACTACTACCAAATTTGGTAGATCGAATATTTAATAAGTGGTCGGTTTTGAGCTCGCCATTCGGTCAAATCATAATATTTTCAAAAAATTAATTAGGATAATGTTTAACATGTTATTGTTCACGTATAAACCAAAAAATAAAGAATTTTCCATGTATAACGCCAGCAAGACAGTATTTAGTCATTGGGCCGGTTTCAAATATGTTTTCTGTCAAATCACGATATTTTTAAAATATTTTGGGATAATGATTTACACGTATATGTAGATATCTAAACCAAAAATGAACATTTTCCAAATAATATTACTACCAAATTTGGTAGATCGAATATTTAGTAAGTGGTCGGTTTTAAGCTCGGCATTCGGTCAAATCATAATATTTTCAAAATATTATTTAGGATAATGTTTAACACCTAAATATACACGTATAAACCAAAAATGAAGAGATTTTGAATAACGCCTGCAATATGTTCCTTACAAACTTTCTACTATTTTTCGATTCTAAACCTATTCATTAATTAAATGTCAAAGAAACCTCTATTTTTTAATTTTTTTTAGGTTTTTCACATGTATTTACACCCAAATACAAAAAAAGCGCTATACAATATTTATTCTGGTTTCCTAAGAATATATTTTCATATTTATGTATTTAACGCCCTCTTATGGATATAAATTTGTTAAATTTTGTAATTGAAAAATAAAATTTAAGTTGTAATAAGCTAGTAAATATATTTTTTTTCCAATAATATTAAGTAAAAATAGAATTTTAAATTATTTGATATTTAATATCAATTTTTTAATTAATAAAAAATTGATTTATGTAAAATAAAAAAAATGTTTTGAAAATTTTTTTTTAAAAGATATTATATCATCAAATTATGATTAATTATGATTAATTGCTTTTTAGCAAGACAGTATTTAGTCATACCCATGATAAAGCTATATATATCATAAATATCATTTACAACATTGTAACAGGGAGGGGAATTTTAAATACACATTTTATTAAGAATGGCTATTTTCATTTTTGTCAAAGTGTTTTTAGGTGGATTTGGCAACAAGAATGTGTCCCCTCCCCCAGGTTGATATTTCCAATTAGTTGATATTAATCCACTATACTGGATATGCTCTCTAAAGGGTATTAATACTAGCTGACTCCTCTACAGGTTTTATTTTAATAAAAATAATAATAAGTTGTATTTATTCTTTCCTTTTTTCTTTTCCCTCTCCCTATTCTTTTTCTACCTTTTTTCTTTACCTTTCAATTTTTATAGGGTTATTAAAATACTGAATTGAGTCGATTTACAAAAAATGACCCTATTATTGTTTTAGACAAAATATAATTATAGAAGCCTCGAGATTTGGCAAAATATATACAAACATTTTAGCC